TGTGTGGAGCACAAGCTCTAGGTGCGCAGGCTCCAGAGCCCAGGCTCAGCATTTGTGGTGCACAGGCTTAGTTGCTCCGTGGCATGTGGGATCTTCCTGGACCAGGGATCGAACCCGTATCCCCTGCATTGGCAGGTGGATTCTCAACCACTGCGCCACCAGGGAAGCCCCGGAGACTGCAACTTTTTAACTCATATTTTAGTTTGCACCATCAGTATGTTGCAGTCAGTAAGTTCTCATTTTAAAGGGTTTTAGTGAATCACATTCTGTTATGCATTTCTTTTACCCTATCATTAAGATCTAATATTTGCAATATGTTCCTGGGGGATAAGGTTGTTAATATTGCTGTGTAACTAACTTGCAAGATGATATATAACTTCTAAGTCAGGATGGGAGTTACTTAAATCTCAGCTTTTTAGCTAGCTAATGTTGATACTATCAACTTACAGGATTGTGTAGGCTATTTGGTGTTGCTTTGTTTTTATTTGAAATGGGACTGTCAAAGAAATTTTTCTTGACTTGGAGAAAATAGAGTTGGATTATAAAAGATGCATGCATAAACTCTTGGATAAGGAGCATTCATGTGCCATAAGCTGCCTTCCAGTGAGTAGTTAGGCATTTTTATACTAGTGTACCTTGTTTTGAAGAAATTATACGTGACCGGTCCTTTTAAAAAAAAAAAAAAAGTATTCCTTTTCAATAAATAATTCAAAGGTTTACTTTAATAACTTTGGAGGTGAATTTTTTTGTTCATATTTAGAAGAATGGGGTGGGGGGCTATGGATATAAGTATGCTAGATCATTGTAGGAGTCCTTTGAGAAACTTAGTAACCATATAAGAGCATAATTGTGTTTGTCAAAGGCATACAAACTGTATGTATGAGAACGCTTCAGTGAAATGTTCTTCAGTTTGTATTTTTAATACATATATATTTCAAGTTTTCCTTATTCCCAAGGAAGAGCTTAGAAGGCTGCTGGAGGAGTATCCTAGTCTCTTCACATACACTTTCTGAATAATTGGAAACAGATAATTTCTGATTAGTATGGTTTTTATTGGATATGAAATCTTGTAAAGGTAGTTCTTGTTTTAAGAAATTTGTTTTACATAAATGTCACTTTTGCAACTGGCAGACGACTAATTCTTTTGGCACAAAGAATAAATAGACACCGGGATTGAAGTATTTTCTGTTAAATCTCAGACGCTGAGCTTTCTCTGCTACTTGTAAACATTTGACTTTTCTCCCTTGGTACATGTGACACCTTTTTTTTTTTTTTTTTTTGGCCGTGCCGCGTGACTTGTGGAATCTTAGTTCCCCAACCAGGGATTGAACCCACGCCACGCAGTGAAAGCCCAGAATCCTAACCACTAGGCCACCAGGGAACTCCCACCATTTCTTTTATAAAGGTTCAGTTTACAATTGTAAACTTGTTCTTAATTGAACTGCTTTTATTTTTTAAATTCTGGGTAAACCATGGGAAGGAATTTGGGGAAAGGAGTTATGGTACTTAATCAGATAAGCTACATAGCAGTAGGAGATTCTAAACAGACAGTTGTATGCAGCAGTACTTGATCAAAAAGGTGTTGTTTACATATAGTTTCAATGGATGGAAACTTTTGGATGGATGGAAGTACTGATCATTATAGAGTGACGTTAAATTAAAAGACTTTAAAGTCTTTTTAAAGTCTCAGAGAATTTCTTGTCTCTGAGATCCTTGTAGTTTTTTGGGTTTTTTAAATTATTTCACATTTTTCCTGCTTTCATCTTTTACTCTTTGCTCCATCTACGGGTGAATTTCAGAAGCCTCTAAAAAAAGGGAGAGAAGGTATTTAATTGATTTAATTTATAACAGAAGAGTGAAGGATCAGTTTGATCCTGTTTTCTTATTCTCCGAGGCTGAGAAAAGCCTCAAAACTCATACATGTTTCAACCAGAGGCAGGAATTGTAGTTCTACTCTTGTTCCTTATGTCAGATTTAGAAGAAAACTACTGAATGTCTTATTATTTGGTATTGTCAGTCATTTAATCTAAGAGAGTAGGCTGTATTTTTGGTTTTGTTTAAACCACGTTTTTGCCTATATTAGAGGTTTCAGAGGGGTGCTTTTTAATTTGTTTATAATGGCCCTTTTCCTTAATTTTTTTTTGAATTTCTATTTTTTTATACATCAGGTTCTTATTAATGTTATCTATTTTATACATATTAGTGTATATATGTCAATCCCAATCTCCCAATTCATCCCACCCCCGGCCACTTAATGACAGTTATTCATTTGTAAAGAACAGGAGGGTCAACAATATCAGAATTGTTTTTTTTGTGTGTTTTTTGTTTTTGGTGGTAAGCGGGCCTCTTACTGTTGTGGCCTCTCCCGTTGCGGAGCACAGGCTTTGGACACGCCGGCATAGCGGCCATGGCTCACGGGCCTAGCCGCTCCGCGGCATGTGGGATCTTCCCGGACCAGGGCACGAACCCGTGTCCCCCACATCGGCAGGCGGACTCTCAACCACTGCGCCACCAGGGAAGCCCAAAATGTTCGCTTTTTTTTTTTTGGCTGCGTTGGTAATAAATGCTGGAAAGGGTGCTTTCTCTAGCTGCGGTGAGCGGGGTCTGCTCTTCGTTGCGGTGTGCGGGCTTCTCATTGTGGTGGCTTCTCTTGCTGCAGAGCATGGGCTCTAGGCACGCGGGCTTCAGTGGTTGTGGCTCGCAGGCTCTAGAGCTCAGGCTTAGTTGCTCCACCAGGACCAGGGATCGAACCCGTGTCCCCTGCATTGGCAGGTGGATTCCCAACCACTGCACCACCAGGGAAGCCCCAGAATTGTTTTGATTTGATCTAGTGGATATTAAGGACATGAGATTGTTGTGTGGGTTAACCTAACTAAATGGTATGATTTAGCACTCATTTTAAAATAAAACTTGTTCCCCTAGTCGGTTTGTTTGTTTTAATCACCTTATTGAATCTAGATCTGATTTTATTTTGTGTGTCCACAAAGCCTCTTGTTTTTTTAAAATAATTTTAGACAATAGAAACATTGACCCAAAAAGTACAGAATGTACTTACACCTCTTAGTTTATCCTTTTAACAACTTAGACAACCATAATAAAATTATCACAACCAAACATTTAACATTGGTTCGGTACTATTAACTGAATTATGGACCTTAATTCAAATTTCACAAGTTTTCTCTCTTGTCCTTTTCCTAGTCTACAATTTATTTAGTTGTGTCTCTAGTCTCCTTAATCTGTGACAGTTCTTAATTTCTGCTTGATATGTCTTTGACACTGATGAATTCTGGTCATTTATTTTGTAGTGTATTTGAATTTACGTTTGTCTGTTGTTTTCTCATGATTAGACTGGGGGGTTCAATATTTTGGAGCAAGAATACCACACAGGTGATGTGTCCTCAGTCCACCAAACCGGGGGTACATGATGTCAATATGTTTAATTATTCATTTATTATTAATCTTTATCAGTTATGTTGGTGCCCACTAGTTTTCTATTTACAGGTTTACTATTTTCCACTTTGAAAGTGAAAAATATCTTGGGAAGATAATTTGCCAGTGTTTAGATAATGAATTTCTCCTGAAAGTGTTGCCCATTTGTTCTAGCATTCATTCATTGGTGGATATTGTCTGCAACAATTAGTACTGTGGTCTTTGCCTAATGTAGAAATTTTTAAAATGTCAATAACATAGTTTTCAGCAGATTGTATGTGTTTGTATATAACAGTTAAGTTTTTGGCACCTGGCAGGCAGGTTTTTTAAATGATTCTTACATTGTGAACATTTTTAATACTTAACATTACATTTTCAGTTGATGAATAATCCTTACTTTGTGGCTTTATTGTACTTACGAAATTTTTCTGCAATTATTTATTAATGATTTTTGAAGGTTGTTTTAGCTTATGAAGATTACTATATTAAGGTAGTTTTACAATCAAATAAGCACTTTGTTGCCTTAAAGTTGACTAAATTTCTGGCTAACCCCTTATGGGTAAATTTCTTAGCATGTTCCTTCTCAGTGTATATTGAGTCCAGTGTTGTAGATTTGTTAGATGAGACTTGGTACACACAGTTTAATAAAACCTTTATCTGTATTTTTGAAGTTCAGATAGCTTTGAAAATTCGAAAATCTTCATAAGTCATTTGGTGGCAAAACCTAAATTATTAAACAGATGTGAGAGTAGTCTTTATTCTTTGTAGTGGGAAATAATAATTTGTTGGATTAGGGAATCTGTTTCAGACCCTTTGGATATGTTAATGTAAGTGCACCACATTATTTTAAATTTTGAGGGGAGCTGTAGTAGATGCCAAGTAAATTCTGAATGATGCAAATTAAAATCAAAGGCATGAAGTCAACTGTTGAAAGAATAAAAGGCATGAAGTCTTAACTGTTAAGAACAGATTATACTATTAAGTACTTAAGGTACCCTTAAGTAAAGAATACTAATAAAAACTTCCTCCTTAACTCTGTTTTTTCCTACATTGTAGGACAAACAAGTTAAAATTACTTATAGGATTAGCTTAATGCTATAATTAAAATAAATCTGAAAATGATTAACATCTGACCTTGATTTATAAATATTTTACATAAACTTATTTATAGTGCTCACAAAGTTATGTCAAGGTTTTTGTAGTTTTAACCCACAAAAATAATGTGTTTATTTAAATGAACAATACCTTAGTCCTTTATGGGGTTTTTTGTTTTGGTTTGTTTTTAATTTAAAAATCACAGCTTGGTATACTCGACTGTCTAACATTAAAGAATATCTTAGAATACAGTAGTTCCTAATTGTTAAACCAATATTTTGTAAACTTTAACAAAAACTAAAAATTTAAAGGAGTAGTACACTAAACTAATGGGCATTTTTGAAAAATGCCATAATTGGCGATGGGATTCAGGTGTATCATCTGACTTTACTCTGCCCTCCCCCACCCCCAGTTTTTTTGGTTCCTGAAGATGTATTAGCATGCTATGAAAGTGTTGAATAATTTTTTTTTAATAGGGATAAAAAAATATGTTGTTGGCCTCATTATCAAGACATCATCTGACCCAACTTGTGTAGAGGTAAGAGCTTTTTTGCAGATTATTGTGAGAGTATAAAATCATTTAAATATTGGGTCTTCAACTTAAACCCACTTCTGTCACAGACATACAGACATATATGCACAATCATTTACAATAGATCTGCAGTCTTTTTTTTCTCTGGGGGGTGGGTTGCCTACATTTGTTATTTATGTATCTATTTTAAGTCCTCATTTAATCTAAACTTTTTTCTTTTCTTAGAAGGAAAAGGTATATATCGGGAAATTAAATATGATTCTTGTTCAGGTAAGTTTTTAGTTGACACACTGTTTCCCTGAGAAGGATTAAGTGCTTCACTTCAGGCTGAGTGGTTGAACAAATAGTCTAACCTACTTTTATCGAATAACTAAACTAACATCTTGCAGAGTAGTGATAGTAATCTTCACAGTAATTACAATAGCCTGCTGTCTAGCATTTAAAATTGTTAGTGTGCTGTGGTAGGAAACATCAAATATGGTGCTGTAAAACCTTCACTTCTTTGGCTCCAATATGGATTGAACTCATTAAAAAAATTTCTCATCTAATGCAAATGAAAACTACAATGAGGTATCACCTCACACTGGTCAGAATGGCCATTATCAAAAAATCTAGAAACAATAAATGCTGGAAAGGGTGTGGTGAAAAGGGAACCCTTCTGCACTGTTGGTGGGAATGTAAATTGTTACAACCACTATAGAAAACGGTATGGAGGTTCCTTAAAAAACTAAAAATAGAACTACCATATGACCCAGTAGTCCCACTACTGGGCATATACCCTGCAAAAACCATAATTCAAAAGAGCCATGTACCACAATGTTCATTGCACCACTATTTACAATAGCCAGGACGTGGAACCAACCTAAATGTCCATCAACAGATGAGTGGATAAAGAAGATGTGGCACATATATGCAATGGAATATTAGACATGAAAAGAAACGAAGTTCAGTTATTTGCAGTGAGGTGGCTGGAGCTAGAGCCTGTCATACTTAAGTCAGAAAGAGAAAGACAAATACTGTATGCTAATGAATATATATGGAATCTTTAAAAAAAAATGGTACTGATGAACCTGTAGGGCAGGAATAAAGATGTAGACATAGGGAATGGACTTGACACAGGGTGGGAGGGGGAAGCTGGGGCGAAGTGAGAGTAGCATCGACATATATACACTACCGAATGTAAAATAGTTAGTTAGTGGGAAGCAGCAGCATAGCATAGGGAGATCGGCTCGGTGCTTTGCAATGACCTAGAGCGGGTGGGATGGGGAGGCTCAAGAGGGAGGGGATATGGGGACATATGTATACATATGGCCAATTCACTTTGCTGTACAACAGAAACTAACACAGTATTGTGAAGCAGTTATACTCCAATAAAGATCTGTTAAAATAAAAAAATTTTTTTCTCATCTGTCTCATACTGTGCATGTTTCCTTTCCATGTCTACTATCTCAGCCTTATTAATTCATTGAAAAAATTGCCTTTGAATTCAAGCATCCCTTTAATTGATCTCTATACTTAGCCTGTCTTTTAATCTTTCTATATTTGTAACTTCAGAAATTTTAAGTTTACCTACCTTTAATAATATGTCCCCAAATTTTCTTGAGAACATTAATTAGTATGTGAGGGAAAAACAGATTTTTTTTAATTTAATAAGTTACAGAAACATTGGGTTTTCCTAAACACTTGGATTTTCACTAAGTTAAACTAGCTTTTATTGAGAAATTCTTATTGTTAGCGTTATCTCTGAATGGGAAGAGGGAGGAGTCCAAAGAGGTTAAGTTACTTACCTCTTACTTAACAGGTGCTATTACAGAATATTGTTGGGAAATCCCTAGCATACAGAATCAACAGTACAGACCTTAAAGTTGAATAAGTCCATTAGGCTTTTGGTCAAAGATGATTCTGTCCCCAACGATAATGCTTCTTTTCTTCCAAATTTGTATCTCCAAGCCCTACCTATATTTCAAGGCCCAGATTCCAACCAAAGAAAATATCTTTCCCTGCCCATCACCTTTTTATCATTTAGAGTTAGATCTTATAGTCTCTTAGGATAATTTGCACATATCTGGCAAATATTGATATGCATACGCATTAGAGCTAGATTAGACGAATCAGGATAATTGAGAGGAGAAACAGGGCATTTGAGACATAGAACTTTGTGTTGTAGTTTCTACTCTGTACATTCTATAGAGAGCAGCACATTTCCTGTCTTAATAAAGGGGAAGAAAATGAAAGGTGGTTGATATTTGCTCCTGCTTTTGGTATCACGCAATTTCTATGAAGTTTTTTTTTTTTACCATTGACAAGTGAAATGAAATTAACATTTCCTATCTTATTTTAGATACTGAAACAAGAATGGCCAAAACATTGGCCAACTTTTATCAGTGACATTGTTGGAGCAAGTAGGACCAGTGAAAGTCTCTGTCAGAATAATATGGTGATTCTGAAACTCTTGAGTGAAGAAGTATTTGATTTCTCTAGTGGACAGATAACCCAAGTGAAAGCTAAGCATTTAAAAGACAGGCAAGTAATTGTTTTGGAATTTTTAAGTAATTTCTCTAGCAATTTCAAGGAATTTGGAGGTAGATTGTAAATTTTTAAGGAACTATGATTATTAAAAGTTAATACCCTTAATTCTTCTTTACTACAAACTTAAATAGTGCTAAAGTGGCCTAATATTCTAAATATGGAGGCTTGAAAAATATGTATGACGTTACAGCAAAATTAACTTCATGCATGTCATGTGGAAGGAATATAGGTTAAGAATTCCCAAAAAACTTTGGAATCTGATTAATATGATGTCTAGTTAATCATAGGTCCAAGGATATGACTCGTGTCCAGATGTCTACTTTATTCTTAATATTCCTACATTTTATCAGTTTCCCTATAGTTAACACCAGGAACATGCCAGATTTTATTCAACATAGTAATAAAAATATGTTTAGTCATTAGGGAACAGAAATGTTTTGCCTTTATGTATTCAGACTAGCTTCAGAATTTAGGATTTTTTCTCTGGTTTGGTATATAAGCACATTTTAGGTTTGGGGATATATCGAACACCACTTCTCTCATTTTGGAGAGTTCTGTTTTGACTGTCTTGATTTAAAAGACTAGGTTGAGGGACTTCCCTGGCCATCCAGTGGTTAAGACACCGCGCCTCCACTGCAGGGGGTGTGGGTTCTATACCTGGTTGGGAAACTAAGATCCCACATGCCATGCAGTGTGGCCGAATTTTAAAAAAATAAATGGGCTTCCCTGGTGGCGCAGTGGCTGAGAGTCAGCCTGCCAATGCAGGGGACACGAGTTCGTGCCCCGCCCAGTGTGGGAAGATCCCACATGTCGCGGAGCGGAGCGGCTGGGCCCGTGAGCCATGGCTGCTGAGCCTGCACGTCCGGAGCCTGTGTTCCGCAACGGAAGAGGCCACAGCAGTGAGAGGCCCGTGTACCGCAAAACAAAAAACAAAAATAAATAAAAGATGTGATGTGATTGAAATTATTCAAATATAGTAAGGATGACATGAAAACCAAACCTTCAAGAAATGAAATTAAGTGCTATTTATAGGTGGGTTTTAAGAGACATTTACACATAGTTTTAATAGCTTTGTAACTTTCGATGAAGTTATTGATATCTGTTTATAAATAGAAGTAACTCAAGTTTTCAGGGGCTGCTGAAATGTTAGTATGTAAATAATTACAGTATTCATTTCTATGTTCTAAACTGATCAATTTTTTATTTTTTTTAGCATGTGCAATGAATTCTCACAAATTTTTCAGCTTTGTCAGTTTGTGATGGTAAGTGCTTTTAGTTTCATTTTTAAAAATAATTAATTATATAGGAAGATAATTTACAATCATGTTTTTGTTGTAGGAAAATTCCCAAAATGCTCCACTTGTACATGCAACTTTGGAAACGTTGCTCAGATTTCTTAACTGGATTCCGCTTGGATATATTTTTGAGACCAAGTTAATCAGCACGTTAATTTATAAGGTATAGTGAATACATTTCCGTTATATTTATCACTGGATAGTGGTGTGTATTTTCTTAATTTGTAATGCTCTTTTGAATATTAAAACCATTCCACATTCACAGCCATAATCAACTTTGTTTCTGAGATGAGGAAATTGCTCAGAAGAACTTTTCTGTAGTTTCAACTACTAATTCTTAAAAACCGTGTCAGAATTTTATGATTCTGCCACTCATACCAGGCAGTCTCCCAAAGTGTATGTGAACAACTAATAATGAATTTGGTTTCCTTTTAGTTGCAGTAGCATGTAATACCTATGTAAAGTCTTATAATTGTTCATCCAGAGATAGTTACCAACTGGTTGTATTTCCAGATGTTTTCTAATCAGATAATAATGAGTAAATTATGTATTTAATTAAGACCTTATAAAAGCAGACTATTATAACGTTTGGGGCTTTGTAGTTTGAGGGCTTGATATGGTCATATTCTAATCTGAATTTACTATGTTAGAGCCACTATTTTATTTATAGACAGTTTATTTTAAATTGTTTGCCATTGTCAACAGTAGTGCAGGAAATACTGGACATTTATGCACTTGTCCAAATATTTGGTATAAATTTTAATACATGTAAGTATTGGATCAATAGGTATGTCCACTTTTAAGGCTTCTGATGCTTACCAAATTGCCACCCCCTAATGGGAGGCTATTTTTATACCTTCTCAACAGTTAAATATGAAAGAGCCAGTTTTTCCTTATTAATCCTAGGTATATTGCTCATCTCTTAAAATCCTAAACAATTAAAATCTTTTTAGATTATACAGAAAACATGAGGTCTTTAAAAGTCATGTAATAGATCGTGGGGAAAGTTTCTAAGCAACTTTGTGTTTTCCAGGTGTCTGAGGACACATCAAAAGAAAGCACAGTATACTACTAAAGCATTTACTGTCTATTGGATGGATAATGAAATTTTCTTAAAATATATGTGCCAAAAAACCCTGTCACCACCTATTTACCTGATATTTTTCCTCTGTGTTCCTGATTTTTAAATCCTTTGTTATTTTTTTAATTGTTAATTTTAAGTAAAGTGCTTCAGGCCATTTAATTTTATGCTTTCTTCCCCCCCCCACCCCACCCCCCTTTTTTAAATTAAAATAGTTCCTGAATGTTCCAATGTTTCGAAATGTCTCCCTGAAGTGCCTCACTGAGATTGCTGGTGTGAGTGTAAGCCAGTATGAGGAACAATTTGTAACGCTATTTACGCTGACAATGATGCAGCTAAAACAGGTAATACAACACCCTTAAAAACTGACTAAACAATTTTGTGCCTTAGAAAATGTTGGGTTTGAGTTGAACCATTTCAGCACAGCTTACCATAAGTAGATGAGCTATAATGTGATTGTATATTTATTATATAAAATGAAGGGTAAGCTAGAAATTTTTATGAACATTTTGAAAATTCCTTGAAGTAAATGTTCTGGAAGTGTCATGGTAACTTATTTCTACAGAATTTAGAGGCTTAGTAACCTGGGGTTTAATATCAGTTCTGCCTTTGACCTTTCATCTCTTAAATGAAGGAATTAGCCAAGTGTTAGTCTGACTAGGTGTATATGAAATTATCTAGAAGGTTAATCACAAAACTATATTACTATGTATGTTCGTGATCTGAATCAAATATTTTTACATTTTTAATGACCCTAGGTGGGAAAACTCTGATGTAGGGAATATGTCAAAGCATAATCTTTGAGGAAATTTTACTACTTGCAACTTTAAAAAAAAATCAAAAGCTAGGACAAGAAAGTTACAGAAATGGATATAATAGACCAAGGCATTCTAGGGAAGAATAAGCTGTTTAACTCCATATGGTTTTTTTGTTGTATTTTTTAAAAATTTTATTTATTTGGTTGCACTGGGTCTTAGTTATGGCAGGCGGGCTCCTTAGTTGTGGCATGTGAACTCTTTATTGTGGTATACACGTCTAGTTCCCTGACCAAGGATCGAACCTGGGCCCCCTGCATTGGGAACTTGGAGTCTTATCCACTGCGCCACCAGGGAAGTCCCACTCCATATATTTTTAAATTAGTAAAAGGGTGGTGGAAATTTAGAACTTAAATGTAGTATCTTTGTTGTTTTTAAAAGGAAGGGCTTATGATCCATATTTAACCTTGCAGATGCTTCCTTTAAATACCAATATTCGACTTGCATACTCGAATGGAAAGGATGATGAACAGAACTTTATTCAAAATCTCAGTTTGTTTCTCTGCACCTTTCTTAAAGAACATGGTCAACTTATAGAAAAAAGATTAAATCTCAGGGAAACACTCATGGAGGTAGGCTTTATGGAGCCTTTGGCTTCTGAAATTAATAATAAAAACTTAAAGTAAGCCTTTGTTCTAAAAATTCCTATACCTTTTAACATATCTTACCTGTTAACTTGTCTGTGCAATATAAATATATGTTGCCAATTCTGAATTATAGTTGTTAAAAGCCAAGTGTCACAATTTTTGTGTTCTACTCAATACCAGATCAATAATTTATATTGAAAATAAAATTCCTAAAGTGTGTGCATATGTCATTTCTAAGATGAAAAGTCTAAAGACCTTATTTTAAAATTGAGATGTAATTCACATAACATAAAACTATCCATTGTAAATTGTTTGATTCAGTGGCATTTAGTACATTCACAGTGTTGTCAACCATTACCTATTCCAAAACATTTTCGTCACCCACAAAGGATGATGTACCCATTGAAAGTCACTCCCTCAATCCGCTCTACCCTCCAGTCCCTAGCAACCAGTAATTTGCTTTACATCTCAATGGATTTAACTATTCTGAACCTTTCCTATAAATGGAATCATAACATACTAATTTGCTTTACATCTCAGTGGATTTAATTATTCTTAACCTTTCATGTAAATGGAATCATAACATACTGATTTTTGTCATTGGTTTTTTTCAGTTAGCATGTTACTATGTTACAGCATGTATCAGTACTTAATCCCTTTCATGGCTGAATAATACTTTGTATGGATAAACATCAAGTTTTGTGTCCGTTCATGTGTTGAACATTTGGATTATTTCTACCTTTTTGCTAGTACCAAATGTCTTTTAATGTCCATACCTTTTTACAATCACGTAAGTTTCTTGACACGTCCTAGGACATGTCAGAAGAAAGCACAGTTGTTCCTAGAGAATTTCTGTTGTCTATTTGATAATGAAATGTCGGAGTTGTACAGAATGCAACATGAGTTTTTATTTCCCATTAATGTAGCAAATGGAAAGCAGTTTGAGGTTGGTTAGTCACGTCTAAGGATTGTTTTAATAGTTTTGGTCTCCTGTGTGTAGGCCCTTCATTATATGTTGTTGGTATCCGAAGTAGAGGAAACCGAAATCTTTAAGATTTGTCTTGAGTACTGGAATCACCTGGCAGCTGAACTCTATAGAGAGAGCCCATTCTCAACATCTGCCTCTCCATTGCTATCTGGAAGTCAGCATTTTGATGTTCCTCCCAGGAGGCAGCTGTATTTGCCTGTGTTGTCCAAGGTAACAATAGTGGGTGGTTGAATGTGCTTCCTGTGATTTGGGGGACCAAATGCAAACACTGGCTTTTATTTTTTGGCTAAATCTATCCAAGCACCACCTGTGAGTTTCTTAGGAATGCAAATGAGATGCAAGAAAGTTAACAATTGATTATTTTATTTTATTTTATTTTATTTTGCGGTATGTGGGCCTCTCACTGTTGTGGCCTCTCCCGTTGCGGAGCGCGCAGGCTCAGCGGCCCAGCGGCCATGGGTCACGGGCCCAGCCGCTCCGCAGCATGTGGGATCCTCCCGGACCGGGGCACGAATCCGTGTCCCCTGCATCAGCAGGCGGACTCTCAACCGCTACGCCACCAGGGAAGCCCAACAATTGATTTTTATCCATGTTATTTATTCTTTTATATTGCGGGAATAATTTTGTTTGGTATGTTGGTGTTAAGTGGGAGTGGGGGATACATTTGATGTGACTGATTTCAAAGATCTAACAGATTTGTTTCTCCTGTTTATTGTTGAATAGGTCCGTTTACTGATGGTTAGTCGAATGGCTAAACCAGAGGAAGTATTAGTTGTAGAAAATGATCAGGGAGAAGTTGTTAGAGAATTCATGAAGGATACAGATTCCATAAATTTGTATAAGAATATGAGAGAAACATTAGGTAAGTTAATAAATACTGTTAATTTAATCTTTATCTTTGTAATTCAGTTTGGGGTGGAAATAACTTTTTTAGGAAATATGGCATGCTTAGGTTCTCAATCTCTTAATAGCCATCCTTATTAATGTGCTATTAGTCTTAGTAAAAATCTTTTTGCTCATTAAGTTTTGCATTTTGAAACATTTGGAATATTTTTTCCTTGTAGTTTATCTTACTCACCTGGATTATGTAGATACAGAAAGAATAATGACTGAGAAGCTTCACAATCAAGTGAATGGTACAGAGTGGTCATGGAAAAATTTGAATACACTGTGTTGGGCAATAGGCTCCATTAGTGGAGCAATGCATGAAGAGGATGAAAAACGATTTCTTGTTACTGTTATAAAGGTACGTAAGAGATAGGTATGAACTGGAACTTTAGTTAAGTGTATTTTATTACAAATGACTGAAATTTGTCTTATTTTACAGGATCTACTAGGATTATGTGAACAGAAAAGAGGCAAAGATAATAAAGCTATTATTGCATCAAATATCATGTACATAGTAGGTCAATATCCACGATTTTTAAGAGCTCACTGGAAATTCTTGAAGACTGTAGTTAACAAGCTCTTTGAATTCATGCATGGTAAATCCTGTTTGCTTAATATATTTTATTTAGTTTTGCTGAATAAAAAATGGAAATTTTTTCTTGAAAATTTTTTTGATAATTGTTTTTGTTTTGTTAGAGACCCATGATGGAGTCCAAGACATGGCTTGTGATACTTTCATTAAAATAGCTCAAAAGTGCCGCAGGCATTTTGTTCAGGTTCAGGTTGGAGAAGTAATGCCATTTATTGATGAGATTTTGAACAACATTAACACTATAATTTGTGACCTTCAGCCTCAACAGGTATGTGGATCAGCAAGCATATTTTTCTTAGAAAGTAACTACTGTTTTAATGAGAATTTATTAATGGGAATAGAAAGAAAGCCACTCTTGAATTCAGTTCAAGTGTTTCTGTGGTTAGGTTTTTATAGTGAGGCAGAAATTCAACCAAAAGTTTGTTAGGCAGTTTTCCTACTTAATATAAATTTATTTCTGACACTTTAACAAAATTAGTTTAAGTGTATATGTGGATTGTTTGTGTGTGGTTTTCCTTATTATGATGCATGCAAGTAAAATGTCTGCCTTTTAACATAGGTCCATACATTTTATGAAGCTGTGGGGTACATGATTGGTGCACAAACAGACCAAACAGTACAAGAACATTTGATAGAAAAATACATGCTACTTCCTAATCAGGTTTGGGATAGCATAATCCAGCAAGCAACCAAAGTAAGTTTTACTACTTTTGTAAAAGTTCTAATGGAAATTGAGAAAATTATATTTACAGAAGTAATAAATTTAGTACCTTTGACATGTATATCTGATCCATAAGTGCTTTTTTTTTTTTTTTTTTTTGTGGTACACGGGCCTCTCATTGTTGTGGCCTCTCCCGTTGCGGGGCACAAGCTCTGGACGGGAAGGCTCAGCGGCCATGGCTCACGGGCCTAGCCGCTCCACGGCATGTGGGATCTTCCCAGACCGGGGCACAAACCCGTGTCCCCTGCATCGGCAGGCGGACTCTCAACCACTGCGCCACCAGGGAAGCTCCATGAGTGATTTTATGTGTGCTTTTGCACATTGAAAAAACTGTAATATTTTTATTCTGTTTTGATGGAAAATTGGGAATATTTTGCTCTATTTTTAGTAATGAAGACTTTTGCATTAGTTTCACCATTTAACATTATAAATGTGATGGTGCTTTGGAGTAGTGTGGGTAATGTTTTTTGCTTTAGCTACAAGAATAATTCTCATATGTTAAATGGAGTTGTTTTTTGTCCTTCGCAGAATGTGGATATACTTAAAGATCCTGAAACAGTCAAGCAACTTGGTAGCATATTGAAAACAAATGTGAGAGCCTGCAAAGCGGTTGGACATCCGTTTGTGATTCAGCTTGGGAGAATTTATTTAGATATGCTTAATGTATACAAGTGCCTCAGTGAAAATATTTCTGCAGCTATTCAAGCTAATGGTAAGCGATTCTGAATTCTTATGGAATGATGTATTAAGTCAGTTCTGCATTCACTGCCTTGGCATAAGCATTCAGCACTTCTCACAGATTTAAATTAATCCGTCCCATGTTTCAGGCAATCCTAGACAATTTTTTTAACCACTCACAGGCCCCTTTCCCCTATAAAATTAGTCTTAGTTTATTTTCTCAGGAAATTCATCTGTGTACTTTTGTCTTTTAAGTTTGCTAATGGTGAATGGGAGCTAATAGTATCTGAAGTACATGTAACTGCCAGTGTAGAATTTTAGTTGTTAAGTTGGATTCCACCTGATTGTATTTTTTAGGTGAGATGGTTACAAAGCAACCATTGATTAGAAGTATGCGAACAGTAAAAAGGGAAACTTTAAAGTTAATATCTGGTTGGGTGAGCCGGTCCAATGATCCACAGATGGTAAGTGAGATGTGCTTTTTGTTTTTAAAGTTGATGCTGCATTCTCTGGAACGTGCATATATTCTGTATGCGTTTAGCTATTTTAAAGGTAATTTAGATGTTTACATCTGGCATTATTTTATAACATTCTATTTAGTGGAGTCCCTGAGTACATTAAAATAATAAGATATATAGCATCTTCAAAAGAACTTGCTGTTAGTGGTGGGGGGGTTGGTGATGTAACAAGATAGCTGACATGATTGGGTCGTTTTTATTTTTCCATGGATAGAGTTCAGATGAAATTTTTGTTTTCCTCATGGCTTTGAGAGCAATTTGCAAAGCTGTCATTACTTTGCCTTTTCAGTGGGCGGGGGGAGTGAGCACTTTCCTAGTTGAAGGTTTGAAAGTCTCTTTTGCTCTCTTATTCCTGTTTTAAATGGTTTTCAGAAACTAAACCAACTCCATATGCCTCAACTTGGGGAAAATGAGATTTATGTTTAGTTATTGTTTACCTTTCATTTTCTTGATCCTGGGAACATTACCAAAAATCCTATCCTGTTTATCACTGTTGTGTGGAAGTAGCACTGACAGCCGTGCACCTTTCATAATTTTGAACTTTCAATATTGTTCCTATTGATATGGAAATTTTTTTCAGGAAATTCTCAAGGTATCAAGCTTAAATACCAAAAGGTTTTAAACATGTTTATGTATGAGATCAGAACTGTATTTAAAATTGGAAAGTAAAAAGTAGGATGAATTGAAGGAATTGAAAAGTTCATAATTTACAACGACTTAGGCAATAATTTCAGGAGTATCAGTGATAAGAAGAAGGGTCTCATTATGTTTTACAACTAAGGTTTATGTTGAGGTTTGGGGCTGTGAATTCAAAGATAGTCAAACACTTCAGATCCAGTATGTAGGAAAATAAGTTATTTCAGTGTTAAGAGTAGAAATGTGAGGCTGGGGGAGGAAACAATAAATAAGTCATGGGTATGAAATGTATAATGTGGGGAATATAGTCAATAACTCATAAATTTTAATGGTAACAGATCGTAACTAGACTTAATGTGGTGATCATTTGAAATGTATAAAAATACCAAATCACTCACTATACTGTGTAACAGGAAGTAACATCGTGTTGTAGATCAACAAACATACAGCGAACTCATAGAAAAAGATACCAGATTTGTGTTTATCAGAGGTGGGGGAATGAGGGGAGGGGAAATTGGATGAAGGCAGTCAAAAGATAACGTTTAGTTTTAACATAAATAAGTACTAAGAATGTAATGTACAAACATGATAAATGCAATTAACACTGCTGTTATGTTATATAAGAAAGTTGTTAAGAGTAAATCCTAAACGTTTTCATCACAGTTTTTTTTTTCTATTTGTATCTATATGATGATGTTCACTAAACTTATAATCATTTCATGTATGTAAGTAAACTTAGTGCTATACATTAATCATGTCTCAGTAAAAACTTGAAGGAAGAAAAAGAAGTGAGAATCAGTTCTAGTTAAGAGAAACCAAGTAGGTAAAAGGAAAAATAATTTTGTGCTTATCCTTCAAATCTTAACTAGACTTGTTTTGTATGGTGGGACGTACTAACTAGTAATCTTCACTTAAATGAAACATGGTTATATTTATTATGCACATCTTAATGGCGAACCTATTAAAAGCATAGAAGTTACGCTTTACTAAGACTGTATTGAGAATCTTGGAAACCCTCACACACAGTCTTTCTGGCATAGTCCAGTTCCTTTTTTGAGAGTAAGTGATGGTTATTATTTCTGATTATTAAAATATCAACTAGCATTCATTAAATTAAAAAAATCATTGAGTAGCTGTCTACTTTTGGTTAGATGTGAGTACCTTGGTACAGTATTGGTGAGGAGGACTCTACTTTGAGGTTACCCATCCCATATACATAGTATTCCTAGAATCCTGGTCCCGCCACAATACCTAGAGCGTCAGGCCCCAGTTTCCTTTAATAATTACAGATTTAAGCTATGCAGTGTCCATGGCCCTTCTCAGCCTTTCTCTTGGTAAGGTTTTAATATACAAAAGCACAGGAGTTTCCAGTTTTCAGCAGATGATCAACCTAGATTAAATCTTACAGATGACATTGACCTAGCTGCTTAATAAGAGTTAGCAAGTGCCTCTATTAAAATTGAAAAGTTGTGGGTTTTTTTTGTTTTTTTTAAACAGGTAGCTGAAAATTTTGTTCCTCCTCTGTTGGATGCAGTTCTCATTGATTATCAGAGAAATGTCCCAGCTGCTAGAGAACCAGAAGTGCTTAGTACTATGGCTATTATTGTCAACAAGTTAGGAGGACATATAACAGCTGAAATACCTCAGATATTTGATGCTGTTTTTGAATGCACATTGAATATGATAAATAAGGTATGTGATTTGCATTTCAGTTACATAATGAGAGGTTCTGCATTATGTCCTTATCACTTTTAAAAGCATAAATAATGGCTGTCTATGAGTACAGCATAAACTTTAGGCTCTGATATTAAATATTTGAACTTCTAGATAAGAAAAATACTTGTTTTTTAAATTTACAAAAGTAGATTTGATAGATTGTTTATTCAAATAGCAGCTTGCATTTGTTGAATACTTGCTGCATTTTAGTCACTGGCTTTTTAAAGTGTAGTCTGTGCTTATAAGGAATGGGAAAATGTATTAAAAAGAAAAAAAATGTATATGTAAGTGTACACATTTTACACAGTAGATAACAATTTTTCTAATCTGTATTAGTGATTTCAAAGTAACTTAAAAGTGGTAGTAACAGTCTCAGAGTTAATAGAAAATATGACGGTCTTTATGTGGGTTTTGTTGAGTTCTCTTTATAATAAGGTGAACTTGTATTCCTTCACTTTGGTGATTCATTTGTCTAATAAATAGTAATTTTGTCTTCCCTGACAGGTGAATTCTGTTAGCTTTTGAGTTTGACTTTCACATCTTAAATGGGGTCCACTAACAACTCCAAACATTTATACTGAATTAGGGCTTGCTTTCCATTTAACATAATTCAGGCATTGAAACTTTATTTTGTTCCCACTATTTGTTTTTAGGACTTTGAAGAATATCCTGAGCACAGAACGAACTTTTTCTTACTACTTCAGGCTGTCAATTCTCATTGTTTCCCAGCATTCCTGGCTATTCCACCTGCACAGTTTAAACTTGTTTTGGATTCCATTATTTGGGCTTTCAAACATACTATGAGGAATGTAGCAGATACAGGTAAATACACAGAAACGATGTTCTTTATTCATTTGCTTACCAACCCACAATCCGTGTATAGACACTTACAGGTAGGTGTATAGTGGTAGACAGGAAGGTATCACTTCACTTCTCATGGTTTTGTTTGAATGCATCAATTGCATAGATAGGTCTGAGTAAGTCCTATAAACAGTTTAATCAGATCCAGAGTGAGTTCATAGACAGAACTGAGTTACAGGGAGATGGGCATAAGATTCAAGGCAGGGAGAACATCACTCACCCATATCCTCACCAGTGTTTCCTTTTCCTCATATGCTTTTCCTCTGTGGCACCAAGGGTTAACTAAGGGTAAAACAAAAAAACTGTTTATAGTTGGAGGGTTTGTTTTCCTTTTAAATAATAACTGTTTTATGTAATAGAAAAATCTATTCAGTTGCACTGCTTTTGGAGTGGATGTAGAGAGAATCAACTAAACCTTCAGAAATACTGGGAAGGTGGTAATGGTTAGATTATAGCCTGTAAGTTAGCAGACATTGATTCCAGTTTAACTCCATTACTGAGTCAAGATAATTTAGGCAAATAATTCTCATTAGCAGAAAAAGAGGGGCGAATGGACTTTGAATGAATTGTTTAATAGCTGAAACACTATCATGAATGTTGTCAGTATGTAATAACGTTGTTGGCATTATGTGTATTTTAGGCTTACAGATACTTTTTACACTCTTACAAAACGTTGCACAAGAAGAAGCTGCAGCTCAGAGTTTCTATCAGACTTATTTTTGTGATATTCTTCAGCATATATTTTCTGTCGTGACAGACACCTCACATACTGCTGGTAAGAATTTAAAGCCATAAAAGTATGTGTTCCGGTTGCTCTTACATCTTGGAGTTAATGATGTCCTTCTTATCAACAGGTTTGACAATGCATGCATCTATCCTTGCATATATGTTTAATTTGGTTGAAGAAGGAAAAATAAGTACACCATTAAATCCTGGAAATCCAGTTAACAACCAAATGTTTATTCAGGAATATGTGGCTAATCTTCTTAAGTCTGCATTCCCTCATCTTCAGGAGTAAGTATAAATAGACTTTTTAATAAACTTAAATTTTTAAGTTTTTTTTTTTTAAGCAATTAATCATTGTGTTTTGACTTGCAGTGCTCAAGTAAAGCTCTTTGTGACAGGACTTTTCAGCTTAAATCAGGATATCCCTGCATTCAAGGAACATCTTAGGGATTTCCTGGTACAGATAAAGGTATGTATTTTATTTGCAGTTGCAGAAGTATTGACTAAATACTGACTGAATTCTTGCATCCAGAATTGACCACTTTTTGTAATGCAAAATGAGTGGGCTTTTAAAATATGTGTAGTCTTACTCTTTTGAGGCTGATTACAGAAGGAAACACTTTCAAAGTCAAGGCCAGGAAGAGGAGATAGTTTGAAACGTTCAGGGGAACTTTTTATTAGTATAATTCATTTTAGAATATCTGTTGCAACATTGTGACTGAATCCCATAGGTATTTTTAAAGGAGTGGAATGGGTGAAAGAAACACATTGGTAGTTCCTTTGGGGATTTTCCATTTTGTTAGTAAGGAATTCATTTTAGGGGGAACATGATAATTAGCAGATACCAGCTTATTTTTACTGCTGTTACAATGCTCCATTTACTTATGGGAAGAGGGATTTTTCTTGTATCATCATGCTTTAAAGAAATAAAAAAGTACCGTGGAACTCATAAGTAGTTGATGTTATCTGTATTTATTAAAGAATTGGTCACATAAGATATTCAGGTTTTTTTCCCTCCAAAATACAAAGGTTTTGTTGTTGGGTTTTTTTTTTTTTTTTTTTTTTTTTTTTTTACTGTAAATATAAAATTAGTATAAAAACTAGTTCATAAAGTTGAGAGTGTTATAAAGGGTGAAAATTGTCGGAAACACAGCTGTGCGGACAATTATAGAAACTTGATCGTTAGTCTTTCTTGGTATTGTTGCTTATGGAGTATATTTTGTATATGGCATTACACTATCCCTCTTTTGAAATCTTTTACCCCCCCAACTAACACCTTTGGTTTTTAATTCAATTGTGTAGAATTATAAAAATAATATACCATAATTTAAACTCAGTAATTGATGGATAAATTATATTGCTTGTGTAAACTGGGAGGTGCTTATCTACACTTTTTTTTTCCCCAAAGGCAAGTTATTTTGCGAATTGACGTTTACTAAAGTATGTTGACGTTTCAACTGTCTGTTTTCACAGGAGTTTGCAGGTGAAGATACATCGGATCTCTTTTTGGAAGAAAGAGAAACAGCCCTTCGACAGGCTCAGGAAGAGAAACATAAACTTCAAATGTCTGTCCCTGGCATCCTTAATCCACATGAAATTCCAGAAGAAATGTGTGATTAAAGTCAGAAGTCATGCTGGGTTGTTGGTTTTTTTGTTTTTTGTTTTTTTTTCTTTTTCTGTTGGTTTTTTTTTTTTTTTTTCCTTTTTTCTGCAACTCTGTTAGCAGATGAAAACAGCATCTGGATATTTGTCGACCAAAATGATGCCAATTTGTAAATTAAAATGTCACCTAGTGGCCCTTTTTCTTATGTGTTTTTTGTATAAGAAATTTTCTGTGAAATATCCTTCCATTGTTTAAGCTTTTGTTTTGGTCATCTTTATTTAGTTTGCATGAAGTTGGAAATTAAGGCATTTTTAAAAATTTTACTTCATGCCCATTTTGTGGCTGGGATGGGGGGAGGAGGCAAATTCAATTTGAACATATACTTGTAAATTCTAATGCAAAATTATACAATTTTTCCTGTAAACAATACCAGTTTTTAATTAGGGAGCATTTTCTTTCTAGCCTGTATTTCAGTCTAGAAGAAAAGATAATGAGTAAGACAAATTGCGTTGTTAAAAGGATTATTATAGTGCTGCATTGTCTGAAATTAGCACCTCTTGGACTGAATTGTTTGTCTAGGCTACATGTATTACAAGTCTGTTTGGCAAGTTTGCAGCAAGATCATGTGCATATCATCCCATTGTAAAGCAACTTCAAAAAATATGGGAACACAGTTAGTTATTTTTACACAGTTCTTTTTGTTTGTGTGTGTGTGTGCTGTCGCTTGTCGACAACAGCTTTTTGTTTTCCTCAATGAGGAGTGTTGCTCATTTGTGAGCCTTCATTAACTCGAAGTGAAATGGTTAAAAATATTTATCCTGTTAGAATAGGCTGCATCTTTTTAACAACTCATTAAAAAACAAAACAAAACTCTGGCTTTTGAGATGACTTATACTAATTTACATTGTTTACCAAGCTGTAGTGCTTTAAGAACACTACTTAAAAAGCAAAATAAACTTGGTTTACATTTATTTTCCCTTTATTGGCTCAAACTTATTCCTATATTAATGAAAGTGGTTATTTGTGTTTAGGTATTAGGTAATATTTTTAAATGAAGTTTGATACCTGTTGACTTCTAAATACTATTTCTAAGGTTATTAAGTGAAGGCAGCACTTGTATAAAATGAAAATGCTCCTGATATACCTTCTGTTCCCAAGAAACAAGTCCTTCCTGTGACAGCTTGGCGCACATTTTACCTTTACTTGCGGTTAAAAACCATCTTCTTTATCCTGGTTAGGGGCTAGGGGTAACAAAGCTTAAAATTAGTCTTAATGAGAACCAAGGGGCAAAAAGCTACTGCACATATTCTTGATTAATTCCACTCTTGTAAAACAACCCTTGGAAGTAGTCCCTTTGAGAAAGGTGGGAAGAGAGGAAAAAATGTGTAGAGTGCCTACGAAATACGAAAAGGGAGTAGAAAAATGAAACCAACTTGGGTGAACCTGTTTCCAGAGGATTAAATTAGCCTTCTATAAACCTAGACTAAAACCTAAGCATTTGAAGTGCCTCATTTTCGTGGAGAATCAGCAGCTTGGTATAATTGCTGTACTCCTAACTTTATAGGTCCTTGGCAAAAACTAGCATCATTTTAGTAGAAAGTAATCATACATAAAATAGTCATTTTTTAGAACAGATGGTAAGATTTTAAAATGTGTTCAAAGAGGAATATTGAAGGACTTTGTTTAAAACTTCAGCTTTGTTAAAACCTTGATTTGATCACTGGTATTGGCCTAAAAATAAGAGGTTTTCTTGGATCAGTCAAGACTTCAAGTCCAGATCGTTTGCTGTATTTGAAATCAGCTGTAAGTTCATGTTTGGTTTAGAACAGCTGTCACCATTTCCATTTCCATTCCATGTAATTTTCTTATCCTACAGCCCCATTGCCTACCTTGATATGTTATGGATGTTTAAGAAACCAAGCTTTGGCCAAAATGAGACTATGATAGCTATAGCAAATTAAATCTAGGGTGGGCATTTCTTGCTTAATTGAAAGTTAATCACATCAGGCCAGCCTCAAGGTATTGACAGCAAAGCACACTGATAAACTGGCCATTCGAGATGTTTGGTTTAGTGCTGTTTAACTCTTGGAACAAGGCAATGTCTCAGTTACAAATTGTGAAAGAGAACTAGAATTGTCTCATAAGTGAGTCTGAATCCTGGTCTAGGCACCCGTTAGAATCTTGGGCAAGTCATTTGAACTTTGGATCACAAAGCTAATTCCTGAGTCAGTTGTGAGGATATCTCAACCAACAGTAGGATGTATTTTTTCCTTCACATTTTAGCATGTCTGGAAATTGGTGTATTTTACAATCCATGGCACCTGAAAATTACAGTGGCGAGGCAATACCCCTGGCATATTTCCTTGCTTGTCCCTGTGTGAACTTAGTTATAATGGTTTGTAAGCATTTAATTGCTATTTAAAAGTGTGTTACAAAGGATTGCTCAGCAACAAAATAAAATGTTACTTATATGCAAAATGGCAGAGGCAGCAGGATATAAACTAGATAATAAAGGGAGGAAATACTCATTGTTGGAAGGATAGTCACACTTCCATATTATCTTGCAAAGTGGCGACCAGGTTTTTTGGGGGACCTAAGCAAGGGAGCTGCCCATAAGTTATAATGCAAAGAATTGTCCACGAAATGCCAAGCAGTGCAATTTTATTCATAAGAAACTTTGAAATTTCAAAAAGGCTGCTGTAGCCAGTTCATGTATTTTGTAGTAAGGACTATCATTGTCATAGTTGAAATTGTTTTCTTGTTCTTGATGGTACATAAAATTAATGGTACATCTTGCAACTGATATCTTAGAATTGAAATAAAGCAGAAAGTAAAGTGCGAGTTCAGTCTTAACAGGCTGTCAACTCCACATTGAGTCAAATCTATGAAAGACTGACTCGGGTGCAGATGTTTCATGATTTGATGCTAACAGACATGCAAGGATGGAGTTGGAAGAAATACAGTATTAGAATACTGAGAAATTAATTGGTCTGATTTGCTGGTGTATGTATTGGATTTTCCTCCTAGAAAGTTTGCAGCAGAATTCAGTCTGTAACGTGTGAAGACTTAGGTCTACGGAAAAGAGGTTCAAAAAGTTGTAAGTCACATAGTCACCCGATTCTAGTGGTGTGATTAGAAGCTCAAAAACAAAATGGATTATTAAGTTACATAAAAGTATATTAATAAGTAGTACTTTGGTACTTAAGTGCTGTTGTAAAGTTAACAGTAAGTACTGTTGTGAAGTTTCTTACCGCTTTTTGTGCTTTTCGTCTCTGATACATTCTGGGTAAACTTAAAAAATTAACTGTAATTCCATAATATATGTAGTCCATGTTTAGATTTCCCCACCAGTTCCTAAGAATTGTCTTTCATAGCTCATGTTTTACCAAATAGGTATCCAATTGAGATTCATGCTTTTTGCATTTGTAGTTTTTAATTTCAGTGATCGTTGTTTACTTGAAAAATATTTGGTTACTATGCGAACCTGTTTTTTAAAGTATATTCTCTTTTTTCATGTTTATCTAAGCATAGTTTATATTTTATATTGTCTGTTGTCCCGATTGACAAAAGCCCTCATCCATACCCTACCCCCTGCCTTTAGAGTCCACTTAACAATTTTCTTTACAGTTTTATTCTAGATGCCCTAGGGAGTAAAGTCTTACTAGCTTGCAAAGTGGTTATGTATTTAAGAATATTTTTGTAAATGAACATTTTAAGGTTTTTCTGTTTTTTGCTCATGTAACAAGAAAGTAACAGTGACTTATTATAGTTTATTTTGTTGTGCTTGTATCAGTGACGTCCAGAGAACCAATACAGAATTTGGGAAGTGCTGCTTTATGATACAAGGTTCTGGTAATTTAGGAGTTTTTTTGTATCCCCAGCACTTGGATTATACCCCAAGGTCAAATATGGCTGTGGGAATTTCAGCTATTATACCTGCATTCTAGGCAGCAGGGAAGATAAAAGCTTCCCCTTTTAAGACTCAGAACAAGTTGCAGAACACTTTTGAATAGATCTCCATATCCCCACCCCATAAGAAGCTGAGAAATACAATCTATACAATCTTAAAGCTGGATGTGTTGCTGCTCTGAATAGAATTGGCATTTGATTAATGAGGAAGGGGGAGAGTGAATTGAAAATGGCAGTCTTAACCACAAGTTCAGCAAAATTTAAGTGAAAGTAAAGGACAAAAGGCAGTTGACTCTATGGGAAAAGTAAAATCTCTTAAGCATTGAGGTACTGAAAATGCCAAAGAAATTGCTCTTACAGTGGCAGCTGTCTTTGTCATTCACTATACACAATTCAAAAAAATACCCATCTGTACAGGGTGGCAGACAAAACCATTTACTCCTTGTCTTTGTTACTAATTGCTGTGTGGTATCAATTTTCAAGATAAAAAGAAGCTACTGAAAGTAACATCCTGACATTACAAGAGGAAGACTTTAAAACCTAAAGGAGAGGAAGCATACAGAAGTTGAGGGGGAAAGGCCACGTCTAAGAGCTGGGAAAGTTTATGTGTGGGAAACCTGTTGTTTCCTTTGTGAAAAAGGTCTTTTGGACAAATGGGTATCTAAACTTACAGAGTCCTTTTCTTGATCTACTCCTAAGTGAGCTATCACTGCTCTCCCCACTGTCAAGACACCTGAGGAAATTATGTCTTTCCCTCAAAGTTTGCTGACTAGACCTTTTCTTTCCTGACATGGAAGTACCTTCTCCATTTTCAGAAATCGTCCTTTATCCGCTCACCCTGTATTTCTTTGGAGACTATTATAGATTAACTTGCATTTAATTTTTTACATCTCTCTCCTCTTAGTCTTAGGATAAGACCAGAGTTTCACGCAAGGTGGGATATGCATTTTTGTGCTCCAGCAAGACATGTGTAAGAGATCCAGCCTGAACATTAATTCTCTGTACTTGCTACCCTAACTGAAGTTCCTAACCCAGAATGTCCTTTTCCTACAACTATAACAAGAAAAGAAACTCCAGGCGTCCCACACTTTGATCTCAAAGTTCTGAG